TAAATTCCTCAAAGTAGAGTCCATACGAGGAGTTTGTCAAAAGGAGGAGTTTCATTAATCATGCGAGCAGGAAAAGGGAACGGGGTAGAGGAAGAAACATAGACATAATATCGATCCCAATAATGCACCTTATTGGGATACTTGTCCATGAACTTGGTACCAGCACGGGCGGCCAAATAAAACATATAAGGGGAATATTTCTTCGCAATGAAACAAGCGAATAGGCGATCAGCGGTCGGTTCTATTTTTTGCCACGACAATACACAATAGAAGACTGACATAAAGCGAATAGAATTGGGATGGAATTGATTGATAGGAATACCATACTTCTCAGAAACTGTGACGAAGAACGGATGAAGGGGAAGAGCGAGACCAGCATAGAACTGGCCTAAGTGAAAGGTTACACTGTTAGGAGGAGGAGAATGAGGTCGCTCATTCTCGCGAGGAGTCGCGACAGAAAAGCCTGAAGGAAGGCCCACGTCGCGCATAAATAACTCTATATGGCGAAGTGTCACAAGGGAGCTCTCTGAAAGTCCTGCTTCTCCTGATTGGGCCTTTTTCCTAACCTTTTGGGTCACCGGCCGAGGCCCAAGGTTTATAAGAGGGCGAGATGTGTCAGAGAGTGTTCCAGAAGAGGAGGAGTCGGAGGATGAAGAACTAGAAGACGAAGATGACCCTATAACTAGAGAAGAATCCTCATTTGGAGGCAGGTTACGCTCGGCGGAAGAAAGAGGACGAAGAGATGACGACGAAAGATCGAAAGCCATGACACGACGACTCAGGAAATTACAAAGCAAAGAGGAAGTTTCTATAGACGAATTAAAAAGCAAACAAAAATATATGAGGCAGAGAACGGGGAAGTACCTGATGCCTTAGAAAGAAAAGGAGGCTAAGGGACGCGCAAGGCTGGTTTTCACGATGAGCGAACTGGAATAAAAATAGCGAGTATCAAAAAGGCGAGGCGAGATAGTAAGTTTGGTAAAAGGAACGGATGAAATGGAAGAGGCGGTATATATAGGGGAGGGGAAAAGGTAAGGTGAAACGATCCCACAAAAGGGACCGTTGGATCAAACGGTGATGAAAGGCCGAGATTAAGACACGAGATCCGGGTAGCTGTAACGGCGGACAGGTGTCTCGTCACGATTGAGCGGCGACAGCTATTGAAAAGACGAGAAGACGGCATGTTCCACACGTGCGAAAAACGGGGGGCTCGAAACACAGAGCAATTATGACGGAGCATTGGGAAGGGGCGCACGTGCACAGAAATAAATACGTGGTAAAAAAAAAAAAAAAAAAAAAAGCTCGCATGAAGGATGGTGTAAAACCCATTTACTCGTTCCCAATGTTCCATGGTTCCTTCTCTCACTTCTATGTTTCAATCCATACCAAGTGTATTCTCCAGCGAACTATTTTTAAGTTCACTCGAGAATAGGGGGGACTAGATGATAGGGCCCAGTTTGTCAACCCAACCATTCGTAATGGGCCTAGGAGCGAGAAGAGCAGCCCACAGAGAAATTGGGCCAAGGGGAACGAACAGCGTGATAACTAAGCCCAATTATCGAGCAAAGCTTAGCTCATAAATTAAGATATGGTTTTCTCTCCAAGGCGCTCAAACAGGGCCTAGTGGAATTGGACTTGGGCTAGAAAACAAGGCTCAAGCGAGTTAAGGGGCGACCAAAGCCCTCGTGATTAAGGCCGGGATAATTGCAAGAGGGCGCGATTTCAGCATAAGAATAAGAGGGAGAAGCAATCAGATCTTCTATATAAGGCCCAAAATCAAGACCAAAGAGGAAGGACGGGAGTAATGGGCGTAATCTGTCCCCTTGATTGCCGAGAAACAATTAGCTTATAAAAACCTTTGTAACCATCGTCCCAAAAAACACACAAGAAAAATATACTCAGAAATAAACAAAGAAAAAGAGATAAATAAATATTTTATTAGAATTTCTACCAAGGAATTCATAACTAAAGCCTTGGTGGAAAATTCTCAAGGGTACGAACTTTCGACACCTTCAGACCGCAATGTTCAGATCATGCCAAAGCTGTCGTCCAGCCTCTAGCATTTATAATTGATTATTATTATCAGATTTCGCATTAGAACTAGGCGACGACACTTCTTTGTTATTATGGTTTTTTTATCCAATGGGTCTCTTACCACGTTGGTCAGCATATGAGTCCATTGGCTGCTCATCTCGTAAAACATAAGGTGGTGGAGAATAACCTGGTGGGAATTCATTGGTTGAGATGATGGAAATGTGGAATGCGGATGAAATGACTCCGTTTCATTTTCGTCTACCATATCATTTTGCGCATTTAATATCACTCAATCCATACCAACTTCCTAACAATGTTGCAAGTTAAAAGATTTTCACAGTATTGTTTCGATAGATAGTCAATGCCAGTGTATACTAAAAATACATATTGAAAATTAATATACTTCATGCAATATTTAAATAATACAAAATACCTCATCGACCAGGTTTCCCCCGCTACCGCAAACTTTTGATGCTTCTCTATTTGTCGAGTACTAGTGGTTCAAATATCGATAAATATATTTTCTCCACCGACTAAGTAAGACATTTTTTTGTTCTATTACTATACGTCTTTCCCTCTTCATCAAGAATTTGTTTCATGGTAGATATAACTTTCTTCCACATTCCTCCTTCAGTTTGGCTATTACCGTGAATTGGATCCTCCGGCACCACAATGTTTGTTTTCGTAAGAGCTACATCTTCATCTATTGACCAACCGGCCAGTAGTGGGAGTGAATTTGAAAATAGATGTCTTTTTAAAATAAGTATAGATATGAATAGGTGAACTATAGTATAGTATAAAACATCTCATTATATAGTGAAATCACTGTGTAAAGAAGTTTAGAATGCAATGTAAAATTTTGAATGGACCAAGTAAACTTGAAAGGGAACAAGTAAAATATGAATGATCAGGGTAATTTTGAATGGGCAAAAGTAAAATTTGAAAATATCAGGGTAAATTTGAAAGAAAAAAAGTAGATTTTGAAAAGAGCATGGTAAATCTAAAAAGACAAAAGTACAATTTTAAAAGGTAAAGATAAATAAGAAATGACAAAAGTAAAGTTTTAAAAGTTAAAGCTGAATTCCAAAGAACAAAAGTAAAATTTCAAAAGGTCTACGTAAATCTGAAAATGTCTTTATTTGAATTGAAATGGAGAATAAGTAGCTAAATATCTATATCTATACATACTATTATTTATTTATTTATTTATTTATTTATTTATTTATTTTATTTTTTATTTTATACTTATAAAAGTATGAATGCACATGAGTTTCTTCCCTTTTTTGTACGTACAAAAATGCCCCTAAAAATAATTTATGCATATAATATTTCAAGGGCAATTATGTACTTTGTTAATATGTTTTAACAAATGAATAGTTGGGATTCAATGAATTTAAGGAACAAAAGTAAGGCCAATCCACTGCAACGTTTAGAATTCGCACAATACATGTATTTGGAATTGCATATATTACTTAATGTTAATGTTAATGGGTTCAATTTGCCTGAAAAAACGACTAGTTTCTTCTTGAGATTGCAGAAGATTCACTAGGACTACTCATGAATATTATGAGGTGATCTTATCAATTATTTTTGTATTTCTCTGATATTTAAAATTAAGTGGTTCAGTATGTATATTGTCTTCTAATTCTACCCAAGTCCCGATTGCAGTTTTGAGTTCTTCGGTTATTACCTAGCAGAGTAAGGCTTGTTGAACTATAGCTGTGTGAAAGTCATGCCTTGGTTGGTGCCTGCATCAATCGTACTCTCTCAAGATTTACACTCAATCATAAGCTCAAATCCTTGGTACGGGGTAGAGTTTTTCGAAATGCTTTTCAAATATCAATTAATTTGCTTCATTTATTTACACCTGAATGAATGTTTCTCTCACAACACACGGGTTATAGTTTAAAATGAAATTATATTTTATCTTGCCGATGATCTAATACGAGTACTTGTTCATAATGTGTAATAATATTACAAAAAAAAATGGTTCTTTTTGAGTAGTGCAAATCTGTGCCAATGCTGTATTTGCTTTGGGAAGTACTACAATCCCTTCCCCGAAGGCATCAGAGATCACTGATTCGGCAATTGAAGTTGTGAAGGTATATGTAAGGATGTCAAGTTAGATAAATGCCTCTGCAATTTCATTATTCGTTATTAACACGGATAAAACTAAAATGTATAGGGTGTACTGGAAATGCCCTTTCTTGACTACAGTTTCTAGGATTTAGTATTTCTTTTTTATTATTATTTTCTTTGCTCTTGTGTCGTCGACTTATATTGGCAAGAAAAATACAAGAAACTCGAAAGTTGGATTGAAAGGCAATTAGAGATTATCTTTCCATGTTTCTTCACTGCACTTCTCTC